ATCAAGTTATTTTGTGAGATGCTAGTTTTTTTCTGTCCTTGAAAGCCGTTTCTAAATCTAAATCTATCCTTTGTGAATTTTCTTAAAGCGGAAATTATGTAAATTTTTGTATATGCTCTAGAAGTTAGCATTTGAAAGCTCTCAATAGTGGCATTTGCAACTTTCACAATTTACTTTAACGTACTAATGAAAATAATATGTGTTTTTTTTTAATATTGAAACAGGTTGAGATCTATCATAAACTTGTATGAACAATAGTACTACAATTAAATGGTATGTAATTATGTTTCATATGCAATAAAATACATATAAGAGTTAGGTCCGGATAAAGCAAAATAAAGTTTTATTTAATGACGAAGAATGTGGGACTATCGATTCATGCAAGAAAAAGAACAAAGTGTTCAAACAAAATTTACACTTAGCACTGGTTAAAGAAATATCTAATTTTTGATATACCATAAAATCAATAAATTGCGCCATATGAAAATGATTACAGTCGTTTTATAATAAATTAAATGGAAAATTAAATATTAAATATCCTGTCACTAAATATTTTGTTGCAATTAGTAACAAGCAAATTTACGTATAGATACTTGTGCAATAATTATAAAACCAAAATTCGAACAACTGTGTTGACATTGATCAACCTGAAACACCTCAGCGAGCATTTTGATAATCAAAATTTTTTGACACTAATTTAAATAGAAAAATACGTTTCCTTCCTTAATGGAAGTATAAATTATTGATTTAATTTTGTTCTATGGTGAGTAATCATGAGAGTATAAATGCAGGAAATCTAATTAAGTTTTTATTAAATTAAAAACATTTTTTGCGTTTGTGTTTTTAGCTACGTCACATTCTATTATTGTGAAAGCATCATCGCGTCTGCTTTAGAAAATCGGGGACAATTTCGTTACAATGGGTGTTGTGTTTTGATTGATACATCAAATTGTCCAACTAGTTACGGCGCAACTTAAAGAATTGACAAATATTTTTCGTGCAAATGCTAACACCCATAAATTCAAATTGTAATACTCTTAGTGTGTTTTTTATTGAAATAATAATAATAATAAAATAGCAAATTAGAAGCATTTTTTAAAACTAATACCATTTAAGCAGGTAATTACAGGAAAATATAATATATATATTCCGTTTCACGTATGTTGATAACTTTCCTTATATGTATATCTCTGTCACGGTCTAATATAATTTACTTCATCAGCTGCGACACTTATTATTGCTCCATTCGGTGTTCAGAAACAACTAAGACACTTTTCTGAATCACCTATTCTTACTTAAAGTATACTCTATGCATTGGGAAAAGTGATAATGCAATAGGGCGAGGTTTAGCGGATATGCTCAATTACTTTGGAATTATTCATGTTTTGTGTGGAGTTTTGTGATGATGAGAAATTATCAACTTCCTTTCAACTCAACTTCCAGGTGCACCTTTTAACTTTTGATTAAGTATTCCCTATTGTTAAATTTAATAAACTACGACTGCTGCAAACTGAAATGAATTATTTCACTTTTGGTTTAGCAAAGACACGAAAGATGCTTCCGATTGATCAGCAATCGTTTTACTTAGAGAATTCAATTGGGATTTTGATCTAAAGACCTGTTTCTGCCCAATAACACTATCATAAGCGGTTCACTACTCATTCTAGGAAACAAATTAATGTTAAGTTGGCGGTAGGTTCTTTTTCAAGATATTTGAGAATTGGTTCTGTTTCTTAGGTCATATATTTTTAATAATGAGCGAGTTGGTGTGAGAGCACCCAAATTCTTATTTACGAATTCGTCTAAAGCGTAATTGCACAACTGACCATGAGAAAGCAAGTTTCGGCAATGATTCATACATATGTTTCAGAGGATCTTGATTAAACAGTGATGCATATTACGTCATGATTACAAGTTATAAGCTGTTCTGATCTTGGTGTAATAGTCAAAATCTTATTAGTCTAATTTGAATCCTTTAAACAAGTATTCCTATCAACGCACTCTATGAGCACTTGACCATAAATTTCAGTAATCACTTTAGTCATTTGTAGGCGTTCAAGCTCTTGTGAAAGGAGAGCAGTATATTCAATGTCCGGCGTGTTCCCTGACAGCTAAGAGGGCGAGCTCATCTACTCGCTAATAATAAAATTAAATTTAGTGCTCACAAATAACACTGAACAATTTGCCAACTAAGAAAAGACATTAAGTGCCGTTTCCTTCTCCGTGTCTGGCTAAAAACTGAACTCAAACATCTGTTAGTAAAATGTAAGATTCCTTATTTGCTCAAATGGCCCTGCTAGCATCTCCATTAAGGAAAACTATTTAAATTAAAGCAATTGAGCCCTCAAAACCTTTTTATATCAGGTTTAAGGGCTTAATTTTTGATCAATTAACACTAGACTCTAAAATACACGGAAGTGAACTATGATCATTTGCCAAAATATCAGCAATGCAAATACCAGAATCAAGAGGCCTTCAAGACTCCGAAAATACCCTCTAACTTTTTAGGTTCTAAATTTCTCCACGCCATTTCTTCCCCCACCAATTTCGATACGAGCTTAGAAGCTTTCGTTTTTTAGTAAAAAATTTGCTGTCATTACTATGGTTATTACGTGAATGTATTTACCTTAACTCCAACATACTTTCAAATTGCAATAATTATGAAATGAGCAATTGGAAATTTTGACTGTGATGTTAAAAAGTATTTGATTATTGATAAAGTTAAAACAATTCAATACTAATAATTAAGAAATTTAATTTTTAGGAAAGATGCAAATAAGTAAACAAACATAATATTAAATTTTCAAATGAAATATAACATCAGGGTTTCATTCAAAAAATGCTCTGTAAACAACAAAAAAGAAATAAATTGTGGTCATGCTAAAGTGAGCCACAAAGCATAAAGACAGTTAAAATATGTCAAATCAATAGGATGAATGAACAGGAGCTTTCGAAGGCAGTGAAATTACACACAAGTTGAAAATGTTCAAGAAAATATTTCAGCATCAACGTTGCGGCAATTTATGAGATGTGGTGAGTTTAGCTCAACTGCTTGAAGTCTAGGGGTGTGCAATTGACTTACCTCCACGTGGTGCACCCTGGCCAACGTTTACTCATACGACAAAAATTCTATTAACTGGTAATTGACTTCTCACTTCAAACTACCATGACTTGACTGCATGTCATATCCCATCACCTCCACAGTACCCATCTTACCTTCTTCTCTACTTTTGTGTCCGTCTTTTTTTTCAACTGTTCTCCCGTTCTCCCTCTCCCCTTCTTGTGACTTTGTTGTTCCTCCCCTCTGGGAGGCCCGAAGTCTGATAAAAGGTCAATGATAACTGTCAAAACGCCTGCCATTTGATATAAATAAATAAATAAATGAGATGGGGTGGGTTAAGCTTAACTGCTTGGAGTCGAGCTATTAAGGTCGCCTCGGCTGATTAACAAGTAATATTCATTCAGAGTTATGTCAAGCGCTTTCGTTTGCTGATCATCTTGTGCAATGCGCCAAATTTGCAGGAAACACTCTTCACCTAATTGTTTCTGCTTTCCCAATGTGATTGAAAGAAATTTGTTCGAGGAGATTGTGGAGGTTTGGTCAGGTTTTCAAATTGCATTTACCTGAACAACGTTAAAATAGGCAAAAGGGAAAGTTATAAAAAATGCCACAAAAGTTATGGATTATTAGGTAAATTTATTTTCCGTTTTATTCCGTTTTAATGCAGTTTTGTTGACATAATTTTTGGATAGCTCAAGGGCTTTGACATAAGACCACCACCAAATGCGTTCTAATTAAAGGCATTTGGATATAATCTCCAGCAACCCACATTTTGGATGCCCTAAAAACCTACTTTTTGGCTTCCGTTTAAACGCATTTATTTACTTTTAGAGAAGTGCTTGAAAAAACTCCTCGCAATAATTCGAAATATAAAATTTTGCACAGTGTTTTATCATTGAAACTTTTGTCGTACACTTAATGAAACATAATGCTGAACACATACATTTAACTTCAAATTCTTGCTGTCCTAAAGAAATTACAATGAAAGCCTTTCGTAAAGTACTTTGCAGCACACCTCTCTTTTTATCCTCCTGCCCTTGAGAACATCTTTCGTCTCGTTCCTCTGCCCTGTTTTTTTCTTAATTCAACGCTCCCATCTCCAACGTTTGTACCATCCAACAAAAATTCCAAGCGGATTGGCTGTGATGACTTCATGCATTCAGTGTAGCTTATCAAGGGGTGTACGATAGACCTACCTCCATGTGGTATATCCTGGATAACTTATAGTCATACGGCAAAAAGTCTATAACTTGGCAGTTGACTTCTGGCTTCTAACTACTATAACCCGACACTATGCCATATTACACCACTCCACAGTAATCGCCTTATCCTACTCTCTACCTTTGTGTCTGTCTCTTTTACATTTTAAAACATTCTTCTACTCCCTCCCCTCTCCCTCTCGACTTCTTTCCTCTTAGATGTTCCTTCCTCTCGGTGAAGTCTGAAGTCAACTAAAGAGTTAATGATAACTATCAAAGCACCTGTCATTTGATATAAATAAATGAATATCATTCTAGCAAAATCGTGTTAAATAAGAACCTTAGCCAACCCTTTTGTCGATTGAATAGACAAATACATTGTCCTCTGACAAGTGGTCAAGCAACGATGCACGAAATATGATACTAGATTTAACCAAAATTAGACCGCTTGTGATGATCACATGATTTCTTAAGACATATTCCGGCTTACAGTTGAAAGTGTAGAAGCATTAACTCAAGTCAATCTTATTATCATTAGGTGTTACTTTTTCCCTACTCAATTACTATATTTCAATGCAGGACAGATATTTAATTTTGCTTCAATGGTTTTTTTATAATATTAAAAGAAATATTGGTTTGCAATTAAAAATTGGCACATATTTGTACAAAAGTTTAGTGAGAGAGAGTGAGAGAGAGAGAGATGGAATCAGAAATATCTACCGAAGTGAGAAAATGATGTTTTACAACTTTTTAATACAAATAGGCATACACTTTGCCAGCTCATTTCGAAAATGCCGGTTAAGGGATATGTACAAGAAGAAAGTTAGTCCGTAGCTTATCAGAGCGATGTTCGTTGTCACCATACGATAAATGGAATAGGTTCTACAATTATGAAAATCCTCCTTACAAATCCCAAACACTTCGAAAATGCGGGCATAGGAGAAGGCTTGAGGAATAGCACCAAAAAGAAAGAGGAGTATCACGGCTATCAGTAGAATATTTAGCTTTCTTTGTGCGTTTCTCTTCTTCTGAAATGTATTTGGGGGTTGCTGTTGAATACCGATTACTTCATTTTTACTCGGATCTGAAATACAGCCTTCCTCTGAGGTTAGAACATCACCTCCCAAAGACAATCTATTGATATTACGTTCAAGCTCCGATTTCTTATCCAACTTTTTGTTGTGATGATAGACAATAGCTATTAGGAGGACATTAAGAATGCACAGTGCTACAAGAGGAATTATTTGAACTGTGGCCATGCGAAACCAGGAATAAATGGCGTAGAATTTGGAGCGTTTGAGTGCAGTCACAGAAGACGTAACTTTTAAGGTACCGTTTTGCGATCTTTGGACATTAATCCGATGAATCATGAAGTAGGGGAGATTGAAAATAATAGATACAGCAGCAATGCCAATTATAAGACGTGTGGCATTACGTCGATTGCAGTACTGTCGAGCAAAATTCCAGTGTCTCATTGCGACGTAGCGTTCAAGCGCCAGGCAAACGGTTAGCCATGCACTCATATTCTCTGTCATGTTTGTAATTGGTATTTCAGCATAGGTAGCATAAATGTACGCATTTATTGCTATTGTTTTGGCTGTTTGTGATCCTCGATAACTACAAAAAATGCAGTAAGTATATATGTGAATGCATATATATTCCTTGTTTATTAGCCAATATCCATAACTTCGATATACTATAATGATCATAGATAATGAGAATATTATAACAGCAGCAGAATTAAAGGATTGACATTTAATTTGATGTTACTAGCTTTATTTCTCCCTATCCCTCATTCTCGGGACGAATTTTGTGGATATGACTGTTCAATCTCTTGATACAGTTTTCTGCGCCTATTAATTAAGGCAAGGCGGACACGTGTTCTCTTTTAAATACAAATGTAGTTTATGACAGCGCGCGTGTTCGTTAAAACAGGTTTTTATTACCATTAGAGTACATTTTCAATTACTGGAATAAGTCAAAATTTTTAATTGGCAAAGATGGCATTGGTGCAATGAAGTTGTTATTGCTTTTTACTTAAAAATGCAAATATGGTGTATGAGATCACCTAATTGGTGGCAATAAATGGGTCCCCCTATTAGCTTTCTTGCACAATTAAAATTTGTTTCACCCACGGAAATAGAAATGATGGAACGTATTACCATTCAAAGGTGAAAAACTAATGTTTTACACCGTCGTATTTACCATCCTCGTAGGCAGTTTATGTGACAACAGCAAACATTTAATGTATATATATGCATGAATACGAGGTTACAGAAAAGCTCAATGAGCCTATTTTTCGAATTTTTAACAGCGAGTTTGATGTTCATGCGCTAAAAGAGGACACTAATCATGTTGAGTGTGCAGAACCAGCCTTCTCAATCAAATATACTACTTCATAATAACATGAGACATAATAATAAAAGAGTTTTGCTTTAACCTAGACAGAGTGAAATGTCTGCAAATAGGAGTATGTGCTTCTGTTATCTGCGATCATGACTCCTCATCAATTAAAGCACGAATGCCAAGATAACCCCATTTCAAAAATCTGTCTGATCGTACTCTCCGTCTCCTCTTTATGTATATATATATATATAGATGTATTTATTTTATTTCCCAACAGCTCTTTCAATACATAACTTAATTCTATCTATTGACCTTATTAATTAAAATTCGCCTACTATTTTTTGAATAGGTCCATTTAAAAAGACTTTAATTATATTTAACTTTGTTAAAATTGTCCCATTATTAGGTTAAGGGCTTAATGAGTTGTTAACACTAACTTAAAGTACGGAGATGAGAGCGAACTCGTCGTAAAATAAGTATTTCAGTAATGGCATCGAGGCTTAATAATTATAAGGTGATGCGAATAAAATGTATAATATGATTCTAACCGTTTGCGTCTCCCCATGGGTCTTCCAATATATAATTTCAAAACGTGAAGTTGTTAGGCATTTTTCAGCCTAGATTGAAAGAATTGGGTCTTTTCGTCATAATTCTAAATTGCTTATACATAAAAGTATTTTAATATTTTAAACCTCTTCAGCATAACGGAAGATGATATTATTTGTTATTTCATCACAAGGGGACATAAGTGATTTTTTTACTAAATAAAGTGTCAATAAGTCACTATTGAACCCTTGTACCCGACCTTAATCTTAATAATCAGACCAGTGATAGGCTTAATAGTATCCATATTACTTGTAAGTATCCATCGCCAATTTATTAAATTAAATAAATGAATAGCAAATCTCTATCCCTTTCGAATTAAAATTGTTGGATTTTATTAACAATTATGCTATTTATCATAACTCTTCAGTAAAAACCAAATGTGAATTGATTTGCATAGATTATAACATCAAAGTGATAAAAATATGAGATTATTGAAGGAATCGGTTTCATATAATTTCAAATTATCGATCAAAATGCCCATCTGTCAGTTATGCCACTTTAAATTTTATTGCTAACTGCAAAAAAAACACAATCTGTGTTTTTATATGTAACTCATTACAAACATTTATTGTAGATAAATGAATGCTTTTTATGGTGCTTAATCAAATGATTTTAACATTTGGTTTCATTTGCTTGCATGCAATAAAATTTATTACGCAAATATTATAAAAGATTTAAATGTCCTTGACTTTCCAAAACTTAATTTAACTTTTGTTTCAGTTGCATTTTTCGGGAACGGACCAAAAATATCTGATTTCGTGACACACTGTGCGCTTCGTTAGCAAACGTTTAGATTGCCAATTACCTCTGTTCTTGGTAAGATAAGTTTAAAGTCACTAGCAAGAAAGCAGCGCATTCTTGCGTCACGATGAAACGAGGTCATTAAAGCATTAAAACAATTTCGCTTAATTTTAGAAATAACCACCAAATTTTAATTATTAGAAATGTCCAAACCAAAAATCACAAAATTAAGTAATCAAATTCTTAGGAAGTTTTAATAAAATAATACTCAATAAATAAACAATTTGTTAATACTAATATATCTACTGAGTTAATTTTGACTAATTTCTACGATATTAATTGATAAGCTCAATGGATATTAGCACTGAATGAAAAGATTCATATAAACCATAATTAACGGACACTGAAATCCTCAAAAGACATACTTTAGCACTCTCAAATGAAACTGAATAGGTCAAAAATATTTAATTTTAATGTGAAAATTTAATTTGCATTGTGAAAAAGAAATAGATAACCTTACAATCTTTAATGAAGCATGGGAACACTTTTTGCAATGCAGCATGAATAAAAATCTAGATAAAATATGTAAAATGTGATACCATTACGTAAACTTCACTAGGTAGAGAAGATAACTGCATAAAAAAATTGTGCGATTATAAATATTTTTTAACTAAAGATTAATATTGAAAATGAAACACTCGTTGAGCTGGCATTAGGTGCTTATTTACTAATTCACATTAAGTAAGTGGTATTGATTTTAAATGCAAAATGAATGGAATAACATTAAAAATCTTTATTAAAATTGGATAAAATCCAGAGTTATATCGTAACAACCATAAGTTCAGCTCTTAGCGCTAATTTAATTTATTATTTATTTTGAACGAAAGGATAACAACAGAAAAATTATATTAATTTATCAGCTTCATCATATTATCTACTTTAATATCAATGACTAAGAGATATTTACAAGTTCAGATGTCTTAGAATTTTAAATTCAAGAAAAATCTATATTTTTAGCACATTATTTAATGACCAAATATTTGGTCCAGATTCATTTCATCAATCGGATTTAAAATTCTCTATTACTGACTTAGTTCTCACTTATTTTATTTATCAAATTTAAATGATTTGAATCGGTTTAGTTGGATAATCACCGATATAGAATTCACGTGAACACACATATTAAGCACCATTGTTAGATTTCTGAAAAAAATATCCTTAACCTTGAGGAAAATTATTCAAGGGCACAAAACATCGTCCTTCGATAGTAAATGAATCCACCACCTTTACTTTGAAAGGTTTGTAGCAAATAAGACAAAAGGCAAAAAATACATATTTAAGAAATGTGTCACTTTTTTGAATTCTGCTATTTTTGTCAGTATCATTTTGAGTTGAGGACTGTACCCTATTGCCTAGCTCCATATTTCGAACCTTGAGGTATGCTTAAATATATATCGTTACAATTCTTTCTCCAAATGTAACAGTATTTGGTATACTCTTCTTAAACAAAAAATATTGTTGCGCTTGATTAGTGCCATTTAATACTCTATTAAAATAGTTGCTATTATCATCTTTAGCAAAATTAATGTGATTGGCAAGATTTTAACATTTATTACCGGCAATATTAATTAGAGTAAATCAAAATTAGCAATAATTAACTACATAAATTGACATATTCGTCTTCCTGGTTAATCATCTTGTTTTGGAGATAATTCTTGTCTATCACGATTTACTATGGAAAATTAAATAAATTTTTTTATTTAAAAAACGTCAACCAACCTTCAAATCAGAGCTGTAAATTTAGCTCTGATTAATATTTCACAAGTAATAAAATATTTAATATTTAATGAAATCTGAGGAATGAATTTTGAAATAGCTAAAAGACGTCACCTTTTTTACAGAATCGAAAGTGCAAAGTTGTTTACTAAAGATGCTAATTTCCTTAAAAATGATATATCTAAAATGCATTAACAAGATAAATATTGCTTTCTTAGCACAATGCAAAAAATTAAATAACCAAATTCCTATTTTTTTAACTTGTTAATTTAATTGTTTTATTCATATTCTTTGTCCAGGATAGTTATTACTGACGTAAGTTAAGAGTGTTGTAAATAAGCGCGTTCAAAACCTAGTCTCTTAAAACCATCTATCTGCTTCATGATAAAAGATTTTGAAAAAAAATTAAAGACAGATTATAATCAATATACTTTAGTAACGTCTATATTTGATTCGGAATTTTATATGCATAAGGTATATAAAAATGTTCTGACAATCGTCTATGCTACACTCCAATCAAAATAATTTGAACACATCCATGGAAGAAAAAACCAATAAATTTTGGGCGATTTAATTTCATAAAGTGCTTTTGCTAATAGCATTCTTCCATAATTTCAAAAGTGATCAAAGTAAGGTGACATGATTATAAATAAAACACCGATGCTTTTCCGTAGTTGCTAAGTGATGGAAAGAAAACAATTTTATGACATACTGAGTTAGACCTTGAGGAATTCGCAGTCCTAGTGTAATGGCATCGGTTATCGAGAGCGCTGAAACCAGCATGTATGCTGGAGTTGAGGAAAAGGTTTTACGGCAAAATATGTAGGAATTTATAATGTTGAGAACAAAACCAATTATGCAAATGCAGGGTTGCATATACACGTAGCCAATTTTAAAAATCATTGAATAGTAAATATCCACAGGCTTCCTGTCTTGAGTTGCAATCTGAGCTCCGCTTGTGGTTTGTAACTTTTCCAACATTGTTGTAGTCTTTTACACTAGAAGTTTTTTGAGAACAAAAGATAAAGATTAATCAATGGTAAATACACATATATGTATATATACATCATATTATGCAAAACTATAGGAGTAAAAACGGAGTCAATTTGTAGCATAGAAGAAAAATAAATGAACACGTGAACTGAGGGAAAAAAAGCTTTTAAGGTAATAACGGTTATGGCTTAAAAAATCTGATAAAAAATCAATTTTAACAGTTCCTAAGCAATAAGTTAAGAGTAAAGAAGCAAATTATATCAAATAAGTAAATAGCTTCTCAATTCATAAAATCAAATGAAGAACTGGCTTAATTTTGATTAATAAAACAAGGTTAATCATCACTCTGATTGGCCACTAAATGAGGAGGAAACTCTTGTTAAAATTTTGGAAAAAGGTAATAATCTTTTTTGCTAATAAATCTAACCCCGTAGCTGCTTGTTTCAAAATAAATTAGTGATTTTTATAAAGAAAAACACACTTTATTAATATTAATTCTATCCTTAGTAATAAAATTCATTTTAATTTTTAATTTCCGTATGATTACAAATTGCATTTATTACTTTGGATACAATTAATGACAATTTTATTATCAAATACAGTAGAAATTAAATGACTAATTATTTTAGCCGGAAACAAGGTATTTAAATAACCAATGGTAGTCTCAGTGTAGATCCGTCTGGGCTACGTACAAATAATTAGATTGAACTAAACTTTACCGCCAACTATGATCGATGTTTATTTACAAATGATATTATATTTTTTACCAATTAAGTTATTTAATTTAATGTAAAAAACTCCCATTGTGTCTCTTTGTACCATCATTATTAGTCGTTTCTGGCATAAAAAAATTTGCCCCGCTATTTTCTAATGCCAGTGTGAGATAATATTTAATCATTTCATGCAAATAGATTTTAAATTGCCCAATCAACTCTTTGGGAATTAAATTTCGATAAATGGGTAGTTGGAAAATTTCAAAGTCATTTAAATGATCCGGTCAATTTTGTCTTCGTTTTGGAATTCAGCTTTTTATCACATTCCCAGGTTAATACTTGAATTTTCTTATTTGTACATTGTTGACGATGGAAAAATAAATCACCCAAACTTAAATATTAATAGAAAATATATCTTTAAATCACTTAATTTTGAAATTCGTTAAACTATTTATCAATGAAATACAATTAAATTAGCTTAAAATGAAGGGGAATCAGCATAATTTCATGACTATGGGCACATAAATATCTAATTAAACAATTGTTTTAATTAATTCCTATTAATTTCTATTTTACTCTTCTGCGGAAAAATATAATACGAGCAAAACTTTTCATGCGCTGTTATTAAGAAGACTTAACTATATATTATTTGAAAATAAAAGTGATCGCCTTAATGCGCTCCTTATTTTAACTGCTGCAAATAATACAATAAAACGGAAATTGTTTAGATAAAATCAATTCTTTTGCATAAAATTTAAAGCATATTTCAACATTAATCTCGTTATTTACCTGCATTATTGTTAGTAAAACTTCATTGATGAAGTAGAAAAAATGACTTACCGTAAGTGACTGGCATATTTCAATAAGCTCTGTGAAGTTATGGACAAATTTAAAAGACCCTGTCGTAGTATATTAAGCCTCGGCCAATAATCGCCAAAGGCCATTCTATAGCCAATAGGAAATCACTTCCTATGGAACCAAGTGCTTTGAAATTCAATCTACCCAGTGTCCCCAATGTTGGATATCTGCAAAGTTTTAGAAACAAGTGTTTTCATTTCATTTACAATTCCTACAATCAGTACTTTGGAAAGCAAAGCTTCTTTATATTATTTTTATCATCGAAGGTTTTAAAATATTTAACTCTGTTAATACATAAAGTGGTCAAAATCGATGGAAATTTGCAATTGAACTCACTCTATTTCAAGAAGAGGAGAAAGGGACGAATCAAAATTGATAATAAATTAAATAAATATAATGAATATTTTCTGGATTTCATTACCCGTTTAGCATATTTTTTTGTATTTGATTACAAAATATTTGTTTAAATTGTCTACCAAATATTTATTTATTTATTTCAAATGGCAGGCGTTATGATAGGTATCATTAGCCCTTTAGTTGACTTCGTGCTTCACAGAAAGGAAGAGGAACACCAAAGTGGCAAAAAAGTCGAGAAGGGGGCAGAATAATGATTCACAGACGTAAAAGAGGCAGACAGACACAAAGTTAGAAAAAAGGTGAGTACTGTGGAATTAGTCGAATATGAAATGCGGTGGGGTCTTGGTAGTTTGAAGTCAGAAGTCAACTGCCGAATAATAGACTTTTTGCCGTATGAGTATACGTTGCCCAGAGTGCACCATGTGGAGGTAAGTTGATCGCACACTCCGTCTACCAAATACAATTCTTTGCAATTACCATAAAAAGGATGATTTAATTGGAGATAAAGGTACTGGAAATAATATGGAATAGTGGTTGGAATAAGCCCGAGAACCAGTTGTAGCTTCTGGAGAAGGGATTGCATATATTTCGTAAGTAATTAAAATTTCAGCCGTTTTTTTGAAGAGACGATGACCTTTAGTTTGTTTTTAAAGCAAATTCTTCACAGATGCTAACTAATGCGTGCTTCCAAAAAGTCTGGGTTTAGGACAAATGTCGTCTACAGATCTCCTTCATAGCATCCGTATTGCCCGGCATAATTATATATTCAAAATATTCTGGTCATTATCATTATACATGGCATTGTTTTCGTCCTAAGTTCACAGCATTTTTGCATAAAAAATGTAATAAATTTGAACGAATCAGTCTTAGATAATTCATTTTACGAGTAAGTTTGTCAGTAACAAAGTATTTGCATTAAGGTGAGGAAAAATTAATGGAGGATTCATCGGAAACCAGTTATTTGTTTTTGACCTATCGTACCATGGTTTCATATTGTTCTTGACCTTGTTGGTCCAAATTGAGCTGAGTCTATATACATTAAATTTGTCACAAGCACTTCTGCTATCAACAACCTCTGGCAGGCATTGGTC